CTGTTTCATCATATTTTTTCATCCACTTTCCTTGTGATATTTCACTTCTACCATCCCCTTTGACATACGTTCTATCAAATGTTATTAGATTAAGACGAATAATAGCATCAAAGATTCCATGTGCCTGCTCTTTGTTTTCTTCTTGATCCAATATAGATGTCTCATAGTCTATATACTATTCCCCCTCAAAACCCATCGAGTACCTCGTCGTGGTGTGGAGACGAACATCTGAAGTACGGGACTGCTTGTTGAGGCTATGCCATCAGTGATGAAAGCTCCGGCTGAAGAATCACCTAGAGCGCTACGCGAAGTGGACAGATTCAACGAGAACCTTGAAAACGATGGCTAACACAGGCAGTGACCAGATAACCGGTCAAGAGTGGACACGAAGATCTTCTTTGTAAACCGTCAGTTACCTTACCTGCGTTCTCCCGATAAGGAAGAAAGGAAATTTTCTGCCTACGTAATTCACTATGAGACGAAACCAAAATACTGTCACGATCAACGACGTAAACATATCCCGACCATCAAGAGTGGAACCCGCATCCGGCAGGGTCGGAAGTAAGGTCTACTCGGTCGTCATCAGGCGAAATCCTTTCAACCCTTAAAATCTTCAAACAAAATGATTTCCGTCTAAGAAACTATTTCGTACTGGTACATGGAATATAAGAACGTTCCTAGAAACAGATGCGGCTGCCATCCTCGTCTCAGAATTTGAGAAAGCAAAGATCAACATGATGGCTCTCCAAGAAGTACGCTGGCTCGGTATCGATGAAACAACATGTGGCTCTTATACAATTTTATGGTCTGCAGGAGTAGCTCTTGCACTCAATCAGACCGCCATCGCAGCTATGATCTCATGGCACCCAATCAGTGAAAGACTGTTGACGGTCAAATTCAAACACAACTTTGACTATCTTTCAATAATAGTAGCGTACGCTTCCACAAACGAGACGAGCGACATTGACAAAGATGCCTTCTATCAGCAAATTGAACAAGCAACGAAGCCGATACATCAAAGCGACCTCATCGTCTGTCTCGGTGACTTCAACACTGTCATGGGAACATTAAGTATCAATATGAAACACGTTATCGATCCGTATGGAAGTGGCACTCCAAACAACAACACAGAGAGACTACTGAAGTTCTGTTTGGAAGCTGGGCTAAGAATTGGTGGTTCATAGTTCAAGCGTAAGGATATACACAGGTACACATAGTTCTCAAACGACGAGGTGACTGTCAAGGAAATCGACCACATTTTGGTCAACACTAAATGGTCTACCCTGCAAGATTGCTGCGTCTACCGTAGTCTGAAATTCGACCCAGACCACCGACCTGTAATCGCTACGATGTCGCTGAGGCTAAAACGCACAAGCGAGAAAAAAATCACATATATTACGTTATAACATCAAGAAGGTGGAAGATCCTGCGGTGCAGTTTCAATATGCAGTGGACATAAGCAACCGCTTCGCCACACTAGCGACCGAAGAGACCTCGAGCTGGGACAGATTTCAGGAAACATTAAACTATGTGGCAGCCCAAAAATTAGGCATGCGCAAACAAATGAAGAAGCCGCGGGTCAGCAAGACCACCCTCACATTGGTTGAGAAAAAGAGACAAGCAAGACTTCTCAGCAAGCATGATGAATACAAAACATTGAACAAACAGTGCAAGGAAAATCTAAAATTGGATCGACAACAATGGGCTGGCAACATGGCGAGAGATGGAGAGACGGCACTCATCGTAGGTGAAGTGAGAGACGCATTCGCTAACTTTCGACGATTAGCTAAGGCCACCAGACCCGTCAGCAGCCCAAACCTCGACGCAAATGGGAACCTAATCAGTGACAAACCACGAAAATTGGAATGTTGGCGCAACTATTACGCTGGACTTTTTAACCGGCTGAACGCACCCGACTCCGAGATGATGAAAACTGGAGACGTCGACTGTAGTATCTGGCTAACCAATATCTTCCAGGATGTCTGGCTTTCCGGAGTCATACAATCAGATTGGAAAAAAAGGCATTATTATACCATTCTACAAAAAGAAAGGTAACAGGCAGGAGTGCAAAAACTTCAGAGGCATTACATTACTACCCTGCCACGGCAAACTATTTGCGCGAATTCTGTTGTCAAGAGTGAAGGACTTGCTTTTGGCTAAATGTAGGAACGAACAAAGCGGCTACACCCCAGGCCGATCAACGGTGGACAGAATTTTCACATTACTTACTCTGCTTCAAATATGACGCGAGTACAACCGTTCTCTCTGGATCGCCTACATTGATCGCAAGGCAGCGTTCGACAAGGATGAACAATTGCTCCGGATTTGTTTCTGGCACCAATGAACTGGCTGCTCCAACAAACCGTGCACTGAGGACTGCTTGATGCTACACTGGATAATGAAGTATTTACCGATTTGGGCTTTCCGAACGACGTAGCACTTCTAGCTGAGACTGTAGAAGCACTTCTGCTGGTATTGGAGGTCATGCAGCATGAAGCTCGCCCGCCGGCCTTAGAAAACAACTGGCCAAAGACAAAAATTCGAGAAACCGAAACCGAACTGACTAACAACAACACACTATCTATACGCGACCAAAATGTGGAAGTGGTCGACTCATTCGTCTACCTAGGTTGCACGATTCACAGAACGGGTAGCAGCGTACCAGAAATCATCAAAAATATTGCAATCGCTCGGAACTGCATGAAGGCACTGGACAAACCTATCTGGTACTCAAGCATATTGCTACAGACCAAAATCCGTCTTTACAACTGCTATATACTACCAGTCCTCCTGTATGGCGCGGAGAACTGGACAATAACTGACTCGGTCCAGAATAAATTAGACGCTTTCAATAACTGGTGTCTTAGATGAATTCTCCACATACCATACACGAAATACATCACGAACAAAGAAGTCCGCGAACATACCGGACAACCTGAGATCAGCGAGTCTATCAGAAGCAGACGACTGCGACAATCTGGACATATAGCTAGGAGCAATCGTCTCCCCGACCACACTAGAGCACTACAAGCAGGCATTAATGGGCCACTACGTGGATGGGAGCGTTCTCGAGACAGACCATGCCCCATGTGAATCCGCTCCATCGAAGACAACCTACGTCCATTCAACCTAGATCTCTTCTCCGCCTGGAAAAATGCCCAAGACAGACAGAAATGGCGTAGTCTCGTAGCAAAAATAGCGTCCAGTAGGATACGCTACAGATGATGATGATGTATACTATCGAGTCATTCATCGTTTTGTTCGGCGTGTGCAGCTATATATAACCGAGACAACGGGACGTACTTAATTTATACATTTTTGTAAACTTTTTTCCTAACTTATTTCTCGACCATTTCTTATTTGAGAATATATCGAGCGATCGCTAGATAGCCCAGAATGAACTGCCTCAGAGAGGTTCAATCAAGATCAGATAGTCTCAAAACGAATAGATCTTAACACTTAGCCATCTTGAAATCCAAGAATAAATACTACTAATATGAATTTAACTGAAAAAATACGAATCATTCGAATTTTCAAAAAAAGAATCCACGTGCCGAAAAATGGATTCGAACAATTCATGTCGCATTTTAATGTATCGTACATTTGCAACACATTTTATCTTAGTGCAAACTTCATCATTCCTTTATCTGATCTACAAAAAATAACTCTTACCATACTGATTTCATCTCATAGATGAGCATGTTAGAAGTAATGGGCTAGATTTTTCAACGAGTCTTTGACTTACTTTCTCATTTTTCAGTGCCACTTAAATATCCTTTAAAACTTTTTTGTCAAGCTCTTAAAAAAGATTCATTATCAAACTAACAAATACTCGATCGCTACCATATTTCACACTCCATTACGTTAAAAATGTCATGACAATAAAATTAGATATAGAAATAAAAGTATAGAAGACGAGCAGACTAGTATGCTTGCAAAGAACTTGTTCGGTTATAGATGCAAAAGTGCTACCTATACTCTTCTTCTTCTGAAACCGAGTACAATAACAAATTTTGTTATCATCATGCACATCTTTGTTACACAATCAAATGCAAACACTACTGATAGAGCATAAGATCTCAAACTTCCACTAGCAAAAGCATCCGAATGAAGGCGGTTGGAATCGATTATAAAATCAGAGATGCTCTCTTCTATAATCAAAATAAGTTAACCTTTAATTTCTATGGAAAAATAAAAAAAGGTTATATCAAGTCAAATAAAAAGGATTAAGCGAGGATCCATGAAAACACCACTCAAATTCATTGTCGAAAAATTTTACTTTTTGAAATGAGTTATCTTATTCGAAAGAGCATTAAAGGTTACACCAAATACAAGTTTCTGTTGCTTTGAAGCAAATATTTCTCATGATTTGAGAGCTTAGATTTTTGGCATGAAACTTTTGTTTACAAAAAAAAATGTGGTTGTTGGAAACTTTTTCTTCATGAAGGGTGCGGGTGTGAGATCTGAACAGAGAATAGATACCCACAACCCACACTCACACCATAAAATCGATAGCTTGGGAAGCTGCACCTATCATTGTGTGTCTACTTGTTGAGATCATTTCAAGACTTTATCAGAATTCGTCTTGTATCAAACTTCGATCTTGAGAGATCTACAGATATCAAATGCCTAGTTTTTATGGGAAGTGAGGGATAGTTGTACTCCTACAAAGTGTGCATATTAATGCTGTTTTATATAAGCTTTGAGACATTACAGATCATTTCTTTTTTCTCTTTTATTCTTCTAGTCTTTTTCTCATTTGTTCGCCTTTGTGCAAAATGATATCGATGTAAGCGAACGAGAAAAAAAGAACATTCTCTTGTTTCATGCAATGTTTTCAATTCATTGTTCTTGTAGAACAAATAAATAGCTAATTTCATTTTCTTTTTTCGTTTTGTCACTTTTCCTTCATACACGCAAACCAAGTTTTTGACATCGGTTTAGCGAATGTTTTCCATTGATTGAATTGTTCATCCCAGACGTAGACCAATCGATCACTGGTGAAGAAATAATGCATATAACCAGATGTGAATGCCGCTCTAACCGAACCGGACAACCCTGGAAATTCTTGGCTGAGTTTTCTTTCGGTCGGTTTTCGCTGCAAATGCTCTATATTCAATGACTGTAAGCTCTTCGCTTTGATAACCTGAATTCCATCCTGATAGTAAATCGCACCAACAATGACACTTTGTAAATGATCCGGCAGAGAATCATCACGGTGATACTTGACTTGATAGGAACGTGGTTGAATTTTGTATCGATAAACGCGTGTACTAGTGAAAATGAGGACCTCGCGGGTGGCGAAATCATAAGCTCCACCAGATATTCGATTCGGTAAACGATGGTAGATACGTTCGTAGGGTGTGACCTGTGTGTCCCACTTTTTCTTATTGGGTAAATAGCGCCTGAGCATTCCAGTATCCAACGCATGAAATGTATTGTTTGGAAAGTCAAATCCTGCATCGATGAACTGCTGACAAGACAACTTGTTTATTGATGAAGAAGTCTTAGTGAATCGAGTGGTCGCTCTCATTTTGGTCGTGGTTTTAGTTATGCGTGTCGGCTGAGTATTTTTTACTATGTGTATCAATTGAGTCGTTTTCTTCGTCGTGGTAGGTTTGGTTGTTTTAAAGGCTGATCCATACTTTTGTTGAATTATAATCCGATCGAACTGCGGCAAAATATCCGTGTTTTTCATTAGCTGATACCTGGGATACATTATCGAAGTTTTTTCAAACACATGTTCTACGCCAAGCGCATGTCCAATCTCGTGAACAGCAACGACATAGAGATTGATGTTGTATCCATCGTAACTGTACAGAAAAAGAGTAGATATTTTCACTGAAATAGTCGACTGGGAAAGGGTAGCGGTCCACAAGAAAGGAACTTACCTATTGGTCCATGGCTCATCCATGTCGAAATGTATTCGACCATCTTCGGGATAATAGGCATGTGCCAACGTTCCACCTGGTCCATCAAAATGATAACCATCACCGTGATCTCTATAACCAAAATCAATAACGATATTCGCCGGGCACGTTGAACAAACTTGCTTGACATCCAATGGGATGTGTTGAAACCAAGCGTCGAATGCTTGCTGAATGATTCTTTGTGACTCTGCTGCACCAATACGTGGTGAATAGTTTCTCAGCGACCAGGTCAATGTTGAACGTGACCATTTTAATCCTAATGATCTAACAGTATTTTTCGAGAAACTGAGCGGTGGATCCTTGTTACCACAACGTGATCGACTCATTTCTTGTTTGGTGGCATCGTCCAGAATGCCGGTGATTTTTAAATGAAATCGTTCTTGAAAAATTTTTAAAATACTCATTAAGTTGAAGGAGCATTGTACACTAGTCGAATGACTACATGGATTATAGCCAAATTTGTTGAGATAGGCGACAGCATCACTGGTCGATTGAACAATCGGATTAGTTGCTTTATTTGTACTGGATGAGGCACTAATGTAACAGAGAAGGATGAAGAATGTAGAATAGTGCAACATAGGTTTGTGTCAAGACATGAAGGAATGAAAGCATTTTATTTGTTTTACAATCGATGTCTTATCTCAATGGCATTTTGGTTAAGACAAACGTGATGATCAAATTACTGGTTCATGTAAAAGCAGATTACATGCACATTTTATTTTATGCTTTTGAATTGATTGATACGTGCCCAGAATGGTTTAATAAATTAGAGTGAATCGAATATTCGTTATAGTTGCAATAGGCTATCTAGTATCAAATGACTTATGACTAACCTATCTAAAGTAAATTCATATCCCATTACTAGTAGTGCTAGAACAATTGACATGATCGAACAAAATTTCGCTAAATTTTTAAAACAAATGAAATGTGGTTAGCTCATGTGGTTTCCAAGGTAGCTAAATTTTTTTCGAAAAATAATTAAAAAAAACTTTAACAAATTCTTAGAAAAGATCGAACTTAGTATAAATAATAATGGCAACTATTCTCAACATTGGATAAAATAAAATTAAAAATAACTCCTTATCTTTATATTTTTATTTAATGTTCTTAGAACTTTTGGTCAGACCTATCTACAACCACATTCACAATTACTGACTAGCCTTACTCTAAGATCTGATAGTAGTAAGTATGCTCTCATATGAGCGTGGGTGCAAGTCTTCTCTTCCCTCGCACCTACACCCACACCCACATCCTCAAGATGGGTGTAGGGATGTCAGGTGAGGATGTGGACTGCGGGCTGTGGTATGTGTAGGAAGCTGCGGATCCATTCAGACCCGGATGCGGGTCCAGAAAAAGGTGGACCCGCAGCTCTCTAATTCTCAATATTATTATGGGGTTCGGGTTCGGATCCGAGTCCAAAAAGACATGGACTCACAGCTCTCTAGGTGTGTAGGATAAAAAGGAATATTCACACTCCACATCTCGCACCCACGCCATACCCGACACCTCACACTCTTTTTGAGTGCTAGAGATAAACGCATCTTTTGCTTGAATACAATTTGACTGACGCTAATCTCGAGACAATTGCTAAAAGATTTTTAGTGAAACTGTCTGCACATGAATGCAGAAAAGACGTAATTATTTTGTAGTTTTATTCGATTCGCGTTATCCTTTTATCTTACAGTTCTCCATTCTTTCTGTTCTTTGTCTACGATATCACAGCTCACTATTTTGTTATCGGACTCTCAAAAGCTTATCGTTCTTCTATCGCATTTTTTTTCTATTGAGAATTTATCTCTCGCTAGCCAAAGTTTGGCGTAAACATATCACAACGTCGTATCCAGGTCCTCATTTTCTTCTCGTGCTTTCTCATATTAAAAGTAACAATATTGTAATTGAATAAAAAAAAGTCGTTTACATCACACGTATTAGTAATCGAGCTTCTGTAATTGAATAGAACGACATAGCGTCTACTTGTGTTTCAGTTCCTATTTCTTCTACTAGTCTCTATTCACTGACAAATGGCAACCACCACAACGAGTCCCGCTCCAAGCTCACAAGGAGCTTCGCTCTCACAATTTTTTACTACATTTGCAGTCGCTGCAATTATCGCTGCTATCGAAATCATAATATTCGTCATTATTAGAAAAATATTCACACGTATCTATGAACCGAAAACATATATCGGAGACGAAAATCGACGAGTCCAGTCTCTGCCAAAGACATTATTCGGTTGGCTACCAGCCTTATTGAGAATGCCACTGGACGATCTAATTCGTACCTCTGGTCTTGATGCCTACTTCTTCGCGCGTTACATCTACATTCACGCATGCTTCTTTTTGAGTGCTTTCGCCCTTTTAGCAATCGTTTTATTTCCTATTTATATCGTTGATGGAAAAGGTGATGCTTATAATAAAAGAGGTCTCGATATATTAACTTTTGGCAATATTTCGCCGCATCATTCCTCTCGTTATGTAGCTCCATTGATACTAGCGTACATTTTCATTGGTGCATTTCTTTACATCCTATACACAGAAATGAAAGCTTTCGTAGAAAAACGCCAAGCACTACTTAGAAGTCCTGCGTATCAATCCTGTGCCAGTGCAACAACCATCCTTGTTACTGCAATACCCAAAGCTTATATGTCGCAAGATGTTCTCTTTCGAATTTTCAATCAATATCCAGGCGGAGTGAGGCATGTATGGCTAAACCAAAATCTTCAAGATCTTCCTGACAAGACGGATGAGCGCACGAAACTGGTTGATAAACTTGAGACAGCTGAATGTAACTTGATCAAAGCTGCACTAAAAAATGAAGCAAAGCGCCTAAAAAAGAGAGGTTCAAAAGCGCATTCTGGAATAACTGAAGAAACTATGGGAGATCCAGAGCAAGTTATTATCAACAACTATGTTCCGGAAAAGAAACGACCTACAATGAAGATTGGATCTATTCCAGTTCTGTCTTCTCTGTGCTTTGGCAAAAAAGTCGACACAATCACATATTGCAAAGAGAAGATTTCACAATTAAATACTGAAATCGAAAGTGCGAAAACAACTCCACAGAATTATGCAGCCATAAATTCTGCATTCATTCAATTCAATAAACAGATAGCAGCTCACATGGCAGTTCAAAGTGTTGTGGCTTCTGTTCCTCTAGCAATGACACCTCGTTACAACGAGGTAAAACCGACAAATGTCGTTTGGTCAAATTTGAAGATGACCTATTACGAGCAAAAAATCAGACAGCTCGCCATGTTAGCTGCAACTACGGTTCTAATTGTTTTTTGGGCGATTCCCGTTGCGTTTGTTGGAGTCCTCTCAAATCTAACGTACCTCACAGACAAGCTGACCTTTCTTCGATTCATTCTTGACTTGCCGAGTGCTCTACTAGGCTTGATTACAGGTCTTCTACCAACCGTTCTTTTGGCAGTTTTAATGGCATTGCTTCCTATTGTACTGCGACTGTTTGCGACAATATCTGGAATTCCTACTACAGATGCTATTGATCGTTATGTACAAGGATCTTACTTTGTCTTCCAAGTCGTTCACGTCTTTCTGGTAGTTACTATTTCGAGTAGTGTTTCGAGCATTGTAACAGTTGTTATTGAAAATCCATCTAGCGCTGCAACGATACTTGCTGCCAATATTCCAACTGCCAGCAATTTCTTCTTCAGCTTTCTAACATTACAAGGATTGAGCATCGCTTCTGGCCTTTTGCTACAGATTGGGACACTCATTGCATTTTATCTGCTGGGAAAATTATTTGATGATACACCACGAAAGAAACATAAACGCTATTTCACACTCAGCAGCCTCAGTTGGGGTACAATATTTCCTATTTTCACAAATTTCGTCGTGATTACTCTAGTTTACTCGATCATTGCACCTCTAATGCTCCTCATTTCTGGGTTAGCATTCGGCTTATTTTACGTTGCCTACATTTATACAATGTTCTACGTCTCAGATTTTCCAAACGATACCGGAGGTCTTGCATTTCCGAGGGCAATCTATCAGTCGTTTACGGGTATTTATCTTATGGAAATTATGCTTGCGGGACTTTTCTTTCTAGCACAGAATGAATCTGGTTCTCAGGCAGCTGTTGCCGAAGGTGCGTTAATGTGTGTGTTGATCGTTTTCACGATCAGTGTTCAATTTACTATCAGTTCAAGCTTCGATCCTCTTACATACTATTTACCTGTTGATGCAGAGGAATTTCCACAGCTAGAAATTACCGCCTCTGGAAAATCTGTATGGTCCAAGATGATGACCAAGGTTCTCAGTTCTCCTCGAACGACTGATAATACCTACACTCTCAGTAATATAGATAATTCTGTGACAAATACTCATGACAATAGAATGGAACAAGCATACCTGCATCCAACAATGCGGGATCCCAAACCGGTAATCTGGATTGCGCAAGACAACTTAGGCATTGCAACCGACGAAATTGAACGTACTCAAGCTCTTCAACTGGATATTTCCATGTCCGTTGAAGGTGCACGATTCAATGAAAAGATGAATATCGAGATCAACGGTCCACCTCCTGATTGTGCGCAAGCAATAGAACATAATAATGTTTAACTATATTTTTAGACGTATGCGTCCTGCAACGAATGACCATGATTTCTATTTGTGATTTTTAAAATTAATCATATTATATTATATTCGTAAGAGATCAGGGTGTTGGTATGGGTGTGATTGTGGGTGTCCGTGTGTGGGTGTGGGGTTGTTGGTGTGGCTAGAGACTAGAGATAAACTCACATCAACACTCACCATAAGTTGATCTTTTTCTCAAAAGATGCACCATCAAATTCTCTACAAACTTCTATTTGTCTTAGTTTAGAACAATAGAATTGAACTTGTTATAGATCGCATATTATGATTATGTGAAATGAGCCTACTTCCTACGCACGTTTTTTCTGCTTTTCCAACAACCTTTTCGAAGTTATAAACAGGCACGTGAAAGACTTTTTATTTGTAATTTTAGTGTATATCAAATGCTCTTTCAGAACTATTTGTAAGTGCTTGATCGTCATCTATATTTATCTAAAAACTATGATCTATCTAAGCGACTACAACGAAAACGACCTTCTTGATGCTATTAGGATCTTTCCTCCGACTGAATTGGTTGCCGACCGTTATCTGAACTGTACATAGAAAGAGAAATCAATTTTCTATAAAATACTGCAAAAATGAAAATGATTCAGTCATAGATGACATTTCTAGAGTGCTTTCTTTGAAAAGAAAAAAAAAACAGGAATGAAAATTGTCCTTTTTTTCAAAATATGGCCATGCGTCTAACCAAGGGAATGAGCATTCAATAACTTTGCATATATAAATAATCAACAGAGGATTCCAAGAGCTATCTAGCGGTATATAATGTTTTAAGAATCAAATATTTACTTATAGGAAAAGAATAAATTACTGAACATCGTGTGGGAAGTAGACTCATTTCACATAATCATAATATGCGATCTATAAAAAGTTCAATTCTATTGTTCTAAACTAAGACGAATAAAAAATTGTAGAGAATTTGATGATGCATCTTTTGAGAAAAAGATCCATTTATGTTCACCTTTCTGAAGAGAGTTACACGCAAAACAAAAAATGTCGTAAAACTTTTGGAACACTTCAGCATATACTTCTGAACTAATGAAAGAAGGTCCTCAGGTGTTAAAAGTTTTTCAGTCCATTTTTTGTGCCGTGATAGGGAACCTATAGATTAGAAGGGTAGGTGTGGGTGTGTGTCAGTGTGTGAAACTAATAGAAACACCCACAGACACAGATATACGCCATACCCACCCACACCCACGCTTCGCGTGGGACGAAACTTTTTCAAAAATTTCTATAAGATAAGAGAAGTTAAAAGTGTTTTTTTGAAGAGACTTTGTGAAATAAGTGATTATTTTCTTCGTTAAAACTATAATTTTTCACGTACGTAGATTATTCTAACAGTTTATGTACTTTTTGAAAACTCTTTTGGAAATCTCGATTGATTTATGCAAAAGATTATTAAAAAAAAGAACCGAAATAGCTGAAATAAGTCATCTATTTCAATAAGTACAGTTTTAAAGGAAAAACATATAATTTCTCTCGTAGAACCTCTTCAAAAAAGTTTTCATCCATCTCGTTTTATGAAATTTTTTTGAAAACGTTTCTTCCCGTGTGGAGCCCTAGTTCAAATCTTCACTTCGGCACATATGCAATGGTTTTCGAGAGCTACAAAATAAGACGTATAATCTACGACATTTTTTTCATTTTCAAAGATTTCGTTCCTTAGAAATTTCCTCGAGGGTGCTTTTTGACGGTCATCGAAGTTTCAGATATAGTAGTCGGAATATTCCAATTAGTTGAGGACTCCGCAATAAGGTTACAAATTTCGATTGATTTTGATCCGTTGAAATCTATCCTTCGAGTAGTCATGAAGGACTAATTAATGAGACCTATCGGAAAATGGCACTCCGACTATTCGACCTGGAAATCCGATGCCCATCGCAGACTCAAATCGACACGTCGAAATACCCATCGGAGGACAGCTTGGGAAAGTAACGCGTACTGCGAAAAATCACTAATTGCTAGCTTCGAAAATTTGTTGAATATTATTTCAGTTGACGATCTACTATACTCTTGGTATCGTTCGTTCATGGGTAAAGTGTTTACTTTACGATTGTTTAAAAGATCTTCGTGTCCCGCAAAGAATTATAGATACTTTTTTGAACTTGGTTCATTCATTGAGGAAACGTATTTCTTATTTCTGTTATGATTTATGGATTACTGACATGTTTTACATTAGCGATTTTATTCAATGTTCAATAGTTGTTCTTCGAAAATACAGTGCTCAAATATATCATAGAGATGTTTTTTTTTGACACTCGTTATGTGCCATGCCTTCTGGCATTATTGAAAGTAGATAACCAAAACTAACTAAGACTTTTTTCTGTGAAGAGAAACTATATCATAAAAAGTTCATAGACACATCATATGAATTGAACTACGTAGTGATTGTTCATTCTATCTCCACTCAAACAATTTAATGATACTTTGAACTTTTCTTTACTATCCGTATACATAATACACTACTGCTTTGTATGAGCTATAGTACGTCATGGTGATCAGAAAGTTAATTTTAGCTTATATCAAAATATAGAATTTCAATGATCAATCGATGAAGAGTTCATACATTATCAAACCCAATAAAACAGAGTAAATAAATCGTTTAGAATATTTTTCTCATATTCACAACTTGTTTGCCATATTTTTTTACTGAATCATATTCTGTGAATCTAGCTGTTCATTATTTAGTTGTATTGTATGGATTAATTAAAACAATCTTTTTCTATTCTTCATTAACAGACAATGATTTTACTAACCAATGATCGGAAAACTTTTAAACAAAATGTTTATTCACTTATGATCCCTTTACAAACCTAACTTATAGTTTCGAATCACAATAGTGACAAGACAAAAATTTTTTATTCAAACTAATTTTATTTGAAAAGAGTACAAATTCATAGCTGCTGACTCGTCAAAAATTATTCTCTACCAGATCTCAAGAGAACAAACATTTTCTCTATAAACTTTCCGATCAGTCATTACTCGAATGAGAAATTCCAGAAAAAAACATACAATAAAATAAAACATTCATACCAGTGCAAGTGTTTCTATTCTTAAAACATATTTTCTTTTTTAACAGTGTTTGACATCATCGAGTATTTATTACGAATCAAACACCTCACGATTACTTTTAGACAATCGATACAAATATTTTACTTGTGATATGCCAAATACATCAAGCGTTTTATCATAATAGAAAAGACTAGATTATTTATTTCAGAAGAGGCAAGCAGATAAAATTTTATGATTATTAATTTATTTTTTTTTTATCACTTATTTCTTTAGTTCATAGATTATACAAAGTAATGGTTTTGTATAGATATAAAGTTTACTTTCCATCTTACGATATTTCAAATATTTTCGGGGATGTCAACTGTTTTTTCAGTTTCATTTGGTATTTCGAGATGAGAAATATTTGAATATGATAGTTCGAGTTCGTCAGTAACTAGATGCGATAATAATGCTGTCGAATGTTCAATAGGTGAAGTTGATGAAGTAAGAAAATCGTGAAGAGTATGAGATGATTGTCTACCATGACTTGGCATTGATTGTTTTTGATATGTACGCCACTGTTGTAAACTATTTTCAAATTCTATATAAGTTCGTCTTACTCGTGCATGAAATTCTCGTTTACGTAGTGAATAATTAATATGTGCTAAAGCAAGAATCATAAAAATCAATAAATAAATTGTAAGAATAAGCAAATATGCACGTTTTACATGAATATTAATACAAGCTGTTATAGGCTTTAAAGTATTTGTTTTGTTTAATACTCTATCATATAGATAATCTTGTTTTAAATATTCTGAACATATTATAGCACATATTTCATAATCGCCAACAGTTAAATCTTTTAATTCAAGTGAATTTCTTTCACATGTTAAATTTTGTTCAGACATTGAATAAACATCTTGATGATTATAACGAATTGTAAAATTATACATTTGACATAATCGTTGATTACTATTTTGTTCTATTTCAAATTGAACTGTAGCTGTATGAGAACCATGTAAACGAGCACGAAGATCAAATGGATTTCGAATTATGTCTTTATTGATTCCAAATATTTGAATAGGAATTGATAATAAATAAACAGTAAATAGTAGATTCATAATTGTGTTATTTTTCCTTTATGCTACATCAATATATACATAAGTAATAAATGCATATTATCTTATGATAATATTACAATGAAGAATATCCATTCTACGACAATTCTTTTTCTTTTGAGGTCAAGGTTTTGTTTATTCATATGTTTTGTTATAATAAAATACGTAGGATACAGAGTTGTGATAAATATTGTTTTCAAACTATTCTTTCGATGTCTAGCCAAACTGTTAATCTTTCCTAACTTTTATCTTCATTTTGTAATATAGATCGTTTAATAACTGTTGGATTGATAAATTAATCCTAATTCATCTATTGATAATGAACTACTATAAGTTGAATGATCGAATCAATACTAGTATTTAAATTAATTATATGTATCAATATCAAATAGAGCTTTGAATGACATATTCATCAAATACACAAAAAAAAAATTATAATTAATACGAGTTTGAACAATAAATTATGTTGTATATCTTCATAGATGTGAAAATTAGAATGAAATTTATAGATGAATTAGACAAGTACAACAGCTTTTTCGTGAACATCAGAATGATCACTATGAATAGAAAAAGATAAAAACATATATTACTTAATATATAAAGATCTTCACTGTATGACACTAATGATCTAAAGATTAACGATGACGTTTTTTGTTTTTGTTTCAATAAACTTGAATAGAATAATTAGAATCAAATCGAAACATAGATAAATAAATACGAATCTGAAATAAATTAAGTAAAAACAAAAAAAAGGCATCTATTAATTTTTCGGAATCACTTGATAACATTGTTTGAGTTTCCTTTTATCGAAGAAAAAAAATAAGTTCATATAAAATCATGAGAAAGTATTTACTTGAATAACACCGATTCATCAGATTAGATCAGTTTGTTTGATAAAACGCTCCACTTTCATTGTTTTATTTACATAGAATAACCAAAAGAACTGAATTTATTTTTAATTTACTTTCTTAAATTGATAATGAATCATTGAAGACATGAACTTAAAAGTACTATTTGAAGAGTTAATGAAAATCTATAAGACCTTTATCTGTATCAACTTTCATTTGTTGTTGTCTACATTCAACATTAATCACAAGATTTGAGTAATCAACAATCGTCAGACAAGATTCATATTCAATTCTTAGATATTAAACCAAAAATTAAGTCTTAAGATTTTCTGTTTCTAACGAAAAATAGTCTTTCCAAAGCTTAGAGAAAGTTTTAATTTTCTTTTGTCGAAATACAGTGGTAAATAAAAAACATATTCAAAATACACTCTGATCTTGACTCTATCTTGAAGAACATATTATCAGTCCATAATTGAAAGTCAATGAGAAAAGAAAAACTTTCCATTAGATATTAGGATTTCGGTTATTCATCAGTCGCAAAACTGTCACTATTACATAGTGACATATCATCAGCATACAAATTTGCTTCAGATATAGACTGGTCTTTTGTAAAATACACATGGTAAAAATATGATACTTCTGTAATTCTGATGTATGTGGATATATGGAAATACCTAGAAGAATAGCAATGCTTGCAGAAAGATGAGACATTTTTTGTTAGCTTTAGATATTTATTAACAAACAAAAATAAAGAAAATAGACAGCATCGAACATTTTATTCTCGAGTATATAAAGACAAATGTATCTGACATAAAACTTTTTCTATTTCTGGTCAATGATCGATATATTTCATATGTCACTTTTGTATAAAATATGAATATTTGATTCTATAAAATATTCAACAGTATTCTTTTCAATAAATCATAGTTAAAATAAGTTCACATATATTTCTTTTTGTGTTTTGTTCGTTATTGTGAGAAAGACAAGTAATATGATGCTTTTTCTCTTTAACCCATTGAGAATGATGGTACATACATATGTACCACCTATTTTTCAGTAGAGAAAAAAAATGTTTTGTTTACATTAAACTGTTAGATCTATAAGATCATATAGATTTATAGGTGGTCCTATTTGCCATCTTTGTCATCTCATGCTTATCTTTTCTTTCTGTTACTGTACAGTGATGTCATCATTTTTCTCGTCTCCTGCTCTATTTTCTTTCGAGAAAATTCAAGAATATTTTTGCTCTTTATTGCGCTTATATATGTATATATATGTTCCCATCCTCATTGACAAAATTACGTTGTTCTTGATTTTGAAAAAGACTTATCGTTTCTCTTTTGCTACAAAGTGGAAGGATGTTGTAATCTTTAGATAAAAGAAGTAAAACAATTATCACATAAACTTTCAAACTCTTTAGCACAAAAGAAGCACAAGTCAGATCTACCATCGAATATGTTACTTAAAAATTAGCATTTTGTTTCAAAGATTAAAAAAATTGTTTTTTGAATTATCATAAGGATGTGGGTGTGGAGAATAGAGGAGTGACAGACACACTCACCCACACCTATACCCTCAGTCAAATGTCAACTTCAGTACGAACCCTTTGGAGTTTGTTCTAGTCTACAGATCTCCTATCACTGGACAAAAGATGGGCTCAAAAGCTTTCGATCATCTAGAGATTGTCCTCATTAGTAAAAGTGATAAAACTCAATAAAACATCAAAAGATCAAATGTAGAGAAGAAACATTTCGAAAGAAAAATCTCAAAAATCATTGAAAACGAACGATGCATAATAGCCATACATTTATATACAGCTAATCCGAGCAGAAAACATTTAAAGAAATATATATATAGATATCTAATTAATCTTTCAATGTAATTCTATTCAATATCACGCTGGCTAATATTTCTTCATTTTGATATATTCCTTTTCTTTTGTTTTCCAACTTTCATATAAATGTTCCATGTTTAAATTTTATTACACCATGAGAAACAAATCTTTTCATTAGTTCGAGTCTATATATCTTTCCTATAACAAAAGCTAGAATTATGAAAATTTAGGATAACATTCACCTAGTTGAAAGATATTATATACTCAACTTTGAGTACTGTTGAATTTGTGATAAAGGAGAAGAAGAAATTTTTCTATGAAAAACTCTAAAAGGTTTTGGCACTTGAAACCAAACAAGAATCGTTTCGTAGTTTTTTGAGTCGAAAGCATTTATTGAACAGTTTATAAGGTGAATAAACCATTTAAAAGGGATTTGAGACTGTGAAGAATAGATTTCGAGAGTTTATAAGATACAGCAATCTTTTTCAGCGTAGTTAGATAGACGGATTCCTGTGTCTCTGGGTATGTGTACCAAATCCTTTTTGGATCTTGTGAAAATTGGACTTGATACAAAATTCTCGTCTGTCTGTGAGTGCGGTACGAAACCCTCTGTATGCAAAACTTTAAAATGTTCCTGCCGTGTACTCGAGGGAAGAACTTGTTAAGGTTTCGTAAAACACCGTTTTGTTTTTAGAGTGTAGAGATATATTGAATCCATTTTCACAATAAAAATTTCCGAGACTTCTAAACGTTGAATTTTTTTTTGTGGGACTTCGATCAGAAGAAACTTCTAGTACAAGTGGCGTCTACAACTCTAAAAAAATCAAAAAGAAAATATTCATGTCTATGTTTTTGATTGTCTAATTTCTTCCATTACAATTTATCAGAAAAATCTGTCGATACTGATTTAGTGAATCTAATTTTCTCTTTGTTGCTTAAAGTGTGGCATTACACAAGAATGAAAATAAAATTGAAGTTTACATAATGCATATGATTATTTAAATCTGATCTTTTTTTCTTCCTTTAGTAAAACGAAAATTATTATTATTTAGAGAATATTTTGTTCTCTTATCAAATATTTTATTTATCACAGAATAAGTTTTTTCAAGAATGAATATAAAACAAAATGACTAGAATTTTTTTAATCAACTTCTTCAATAGTTGGACCATTACCATTTGATTTAGGTCCACTATGATCATCAGACATATTGCTTTCACCACCTAGAATATGAACAAACAAAAATAGATAAGAATTTCTATATTTAATAAATGTAAAATAACTTACCATAAAGTTTAGCCATGAATGGTGAACAAATTTTTTCAATTTCTTTAAGTTTATGTTCAAATTCATCTTTATCAGCTAATTGATTTGTTTCCATCCATTTTAAAGTTGATTCAATTGTTTCATTTATTTTTGATTTATCATCAGATGAAAGTTTTGATGAAACTTTTTCATCATTAATACTTGTTTTCATATTAAAACAATATGATTCAAGTGAATTTTTTGCTGATATACGTTCACGTTGTATATCATCTTCTTTTTTATATTTTTCAGCATCAGATACCATTTTTTCAATTTCTTCCTTTGATAATCGACTATTATCATTTCTAATTGTTATTTTCTTTTCTTGACCAGATGATTTTTCAACAGCTGAAACATTTAATATGCCATTTGCATCAACATCAAATGTAACTTCAATTTTTGGTACACCACGTGGTGCTGGAGGAATTTTAGTAAGTTCAAAATTTCCAAGTAAATGATTATCTTTTGTCATTGTTCGTTCACCTTCATAAACTTTTATATCAACACCAGGTTGATTATCTGAATATGTTGTAAATGTTTGTGTTTGTCTTGTTGGAATAGCTGAACTACGTTTGATTAATGATGTCATAACACCACCAGCTGTTTCGATACCCTGTAAAAATAAAAATTAAAAAAAAAATTAATAACCAATAAAAAAAGAAAAGTTTCTTTTTTTTCTTACCAATGAAAGTGGTGCAACATCAATTAAAACCACTTCTTTAATTTCATCTGATTTATCGCCAGTTAAAATAGCTGCTTGTACAGCTGCACCATAAGCAACAGCTTCATCTGGATTAATTGATTTATTTAATTCTTTTCCATTGAAGAAATCTTGAAGTAATTTTTGTACTTTTGGAATACGTGTTGAACCACCAACAAGTACAATTTCATGAATATTTGATTTATCCATTTTTGCATCACGTAAAGCTTTTTCTACAGGTTCAAGTGTTGAACGAAATAAATCAGCACATAATTCTTCAAAACGAGCACGTGTTATTTGAGAATAAAAATCAACACCTTCATGGAGAGAATCAATTTCAATTGATGTTTGAGATGATGATGATAATGTACGCTATAATGAACAAAAAAAAGAAACAAATCATTTAATATTTTTGTAATATTACAAAAAAAAATTTTAACTTACTTTTGCTCTTTCACATGCTGTATGTAATCGTCTAAGAGCACGCATATTTTGTGATATATCTTTATTAGTTTTTCTTTTAAATTCTTGTATAAAATGTGTTACCATACGATTATCAAAATCTTCACCACCTAAATGTGTATCACCGGCTGTTGACTTAACTTCAAATACACCTTGATCAATAATCAATATAGACACATCGAATGTTCCACCTCCCAAATCAAATATCAAAACATTTTTTTCCTTAGTTGCTTTCTTATCTAAACCATAAGCAATAGCTGCTGCTGTTGGTTCATTAATAATTCGTAAAACATTAAGTCCAGCAATTATACCAGCATCTTTTGTTGCTTGTCGTTGTGCATCATTAAAATAAGCTGGAACAGTAACAACAGCATCTGACACTTTTCTTCCAAGATAAGCTTCTGCAGTTTCTTTCATTTTTAATAGAACCATTGATGAAATTTCTTCTGGTGTAAATGATTTTGTTTCATTTTTATATTGTACTTGAATTTTTGGTTTACTACTTTCATTAATAACTGTAAACGGCCAATGTTTCATATCAGATTGTACAGTTGATTCATTAAATTTACGACCAATCAATCGTTTAGCATCAAAAATTGTATTATTTGGATTCATTGCTGCTTGATTTTTAGCTGCATCACCAATTAAACGTTCACTATCAGTAAATGCAACATATGATGGTGTTGTTCGATTACCTTGATCATTTGCAATTATTTCAACTTTACCATGTTGAAATATACCAACACACTAAAATATTTAAAAAAAATTTAATCAGATAAAATTAAATAAATTATGGAATACTTACTGAATATGTTGTGCCTAAATCGATACCAATTGCACGAGCCATTTGTGCTTAATAATATGAAAATTTTTGAAAAATAGACGATATTGATTATAGTTATTACACATTCTTTATATAGTATTAAATAAAATTCCTTCTGTACAATCGAGAACCTTCGAGTATTATCGAGAAGAAGCAGGAAGATGTGTGAAAAAAGGAAATGAAACTCAAGAATGAATGATGAAAGATTGACTAATGTGTAATTTCCAATTTAACGAAAGTTTTTCTTTTTTGAGTCATAGCAACCGTGACTCTGATTCACCGAGAATGTAGACGAATGATGTGATGTATTAATGCGACATCTTGGTTATTCAAATTTTGTTACGTGTATTATTTTTTCGTTTCTACAAACAAAGAAAGTGTCTCTCAGAGGTTTCTTATTGCATCACAATATTTCATCATCACTGCATCATATTCGCTTACACTTTCATTTCACCGAGTTTGTCGTATAATTTACATTTATATAAAATGATGCCAGTTGGATGTGAGTGAGTAGATGTGTGGCTGTAGATAATCAACCCACAATCACTCTCATATCCATACCTATACACCCCAACATTCTCGAAATTTAATTATCATTCTTGAAATAATAATAAACAACATCAAATTAAACAAATAATTAAAGTTATCCATGTTGTGATTGAAAACATGATTCACATTGTCGATGACCGCAAGTAATTAATTGTATTGGATCTATCAACATCAATGTACACATTGGACAAATAAAACAGAGTTAAACACCATTAGTTATCGAGTGAAAATGCTACAAGTATATGGAAATGTTTCACCAAAGAAACTGTAATTGAAAAG